ATATTTATTCACCCAAACCATATTTGGTATCAATGTTATACCTAACAGTACAGCAATAGCATTTTCATGTTTTTGCCCATCAGTCATGGTTCCAGATCACATACAGGAAAAGTAACTGTGTACACATAAATGTGGTTTTATCAGGTCCAGCAATTGTTGAAACAAAGAATGGCAGGTGTCTATCATGTCTTCTGAAAAGACATTTTGTGGGATTAGTACATGTTTAGTCCACACTAAAGTATCATGGAAGTAATTACTGAAGCTGCAGAACCTTTCTTTCCTTTGCAGATTATTATTCTGCCAAAGGTAGCATGTTGAGAAAGATGAAATATTCCCTGAAACAACCATTTCTGCCAATTTTCCCATAAAAATTAAAGAAGCTTCAATTAAGCAAAAAGGTTGGAGATGTGATACTGGGTAGGAAAGCAGAAGTGGGCCTTTGAGATACATTTCAGGCAATATGGAAAGAGAGAAAGACTATCAAAATATGAGAAAAATATCTGAGGTTGTTTTTATAAAAAGAGAACGGGGATTCCCGTTATACATTCTGTGACTTGGGAGCCATAGGTGGTATATTGGTTATTATAACGGAGAATAGACTGTTGGTGAACTGAGAGGCAATAGCTGATGCAGGGCACAGAGAGTATTAGACAAAAGTCAGTTGGCAAGAGAAACAGGCAATAATAGAAGGGTTGTTATGGAATGGATGTGGGAAAGCTCTTGGATGGCTGTCCCAAAACATTACTCTCTAGAAACTAAAGCAGTAAAGACTTTTCATCTAAAGCAAAAGGAAGCAGCCTGGTGTCCTTCCAATCTTTTGGTCATCAGTTCTCACTACTCCTAAATCAGCCAAGGGCAACAGAAGAAGACTGTGAGAATGGCAGGCCCAGATATAGGGAGGGAAGCTGAATGTCTTCTCCGGTCTATGCCAAACAATTTTCCCAGTCTGTTGCTGCTTTTTTTCCCCCAATTTTTTTTATTTCAATCTACATATAACAACAATATATTAACAGTGTGGCATCAATATATCGTACATCTCTCATTGCATTATATTCATATTAATACATACTTCTGCAATATTTATTTTCAACCTTACTCTCTCCAAATGCCTACCACCATATCAACTAAACATACCTAATAATTCCATTATTCAATTTTCTCCCTGTTTTTATTTTATTTTTTTAAATGAAAAATTTTCATTTGGCAAGCAGTGTGGTTCCAGGTTTCACATCTCAATACAAACATAACCATAGTTACCTGTTCATTTTATTTGTTTAATTTCATATTGCATCATCCTAGTCATTATTAAATATTAAGCTTATCTTATCCAATCCCAATTCATGTTCTCATGTCTTATTTTACAATATTATCTAAAATTCTCATCTCAATGCTATGTTCATTTATTCAATTCCAAATCCTAATATATCTCCTTCCATTTTTCTTAGTATATTCTCATATCTTATTTTACAATGTTATCTAAAATTCTCATCTCCTTTCTATTATCATTTCTCATATTATTATTTTTCTGTCACATTTGTCATTTTATCAATCCTTATCTGAAAATATAATTGTCCCCTCTAGTTAATAATTCAAGCTAACCACCTTCATTCTTCCTTAATATCAATCTCCCTATCTGGTATAAAACACAAATATATATTTTTTTCTCAGATTCCGCATTATATTTTCTCTGTGAATCATCTATACATTACAAAATACTATTTTCAATATATTCTTATACATCCCAACATATTACCTTGCGGAATCCTCTTCCTTATCCCTTTTTTTTTACCCATTATCTCTCACTCTTTGAACAATGTACTTTCTTTTCATCCTTGTTTGTTTCCTGTTCCTCTTTATTTTCTGGTCCTTTCTCTTAATTCCCTTTTTCCTCATTCTTATTCCCCTCCTTTTCTCATTCCAGTTATTAAACTTTTCTGTCTCCCTCTTTTGATTTTTCCTTTGCACTTCCTTTTTCTGCTTTTCCCTTCTCTCTTTAACCATTTTCCGAACCATTCTCCCTTTTATCAACCCATCAGACCACAATTTTTTAATTCTAACTCCTTTTCTCCCCTGCTTAAATAATTGTTGTTCATTTTGTCCTTCTAAGTTGGCTTCTTCTTTATAGAACTCCTCCCCCTCTGGTTCTTTTGTATGCTGAGTCACCATTTCTAATTTCTGTAGTACATAATTACACATTTCAAGTTTGATTTTTATCATGTCCCTTGTATCTTGCATATCCGATCTTATGTCTTGTGTGTCCACTCTTATATCAACAAGTAGCTCTTCCATTATATCTTCTTTTTTCTTTTTCTTTCCTCTTCCTTAATAATTGAAATCCTCTTCTTTGATAGATATATTCAATCTGAGAGTCCAGTATATTATTTCAGCCAATATCTTTTGAGTTTATTTTCAACAATTCATACTCTTGAGTCTTTATTCCAAATCTTCTAATTGGCCTCCCAACTGTTTCCCAAATTACTGGGTGGTCCTATGACAATAATAAAGTTCCTTTTATTTTCTTTCAAGTTCCAAGATCCAAACTCTCAAAAAGACCAGACACTCGTTTTAAAACAGACTTTTTTTTAAAGTTTTCCTGTACTATCAGGTGGCGCTCTTGAGTTTTTTCTTTTTAACTTTCTTTATTGAATATAATATTTTTATTAAGTTTGCTAATTTCAATCATTAGTTATTCTTTTCAACACACTCAATTCCAGCATTTAGTTATGCCCTTTAAGTGCCCACAGTTCAATATATGTCCAGTTTAATTTTTAATCCTTTGTTGTGTTAATGTATTTTCCTTTAAATTTCTCCTCCAGATTAGTCCAATAGAATAAAATCCAAATTTAAAAACCAAATTCTCACTTTCTCTGGTCGCGGCTTCCACACACTTTCCTCCAAAATAGCCCTTTAATTTGATACCGGGGTACCTCAAAACCAATGTCCTTTGTCTGGTTCACACTTTTTTCACTACTTCTCTCTCCAGCACAAAACTTAGTTTCCCGGAGTGTTCTTCATCTTTGTGGTGGCCATTGTGGGACCACCATTGCAGCTTGCCTTTGGGAGGGATTTTCCTGTCAGGGAGGGGAATTGCAGCTCCCCTCGATCCTCCAGATGATTTCCTCCTTCTTCACCACCCCACCAAGGTGGCTCCGGTTTCGATCGAGACCCTCCAGAAAGTGAGCTCGGACGAAACCATGCACAATCACGGATTCCATATCGACACCGATGAGGAACAAACTAGAAGTCCCAGTCTGTTGCTGCTTTGTATAAGCATTGCACTACAGTTCACATTATCCCAGAAGAAATAGCAGTTTGCTATTGAATATATGACTGAAGTAAGATTTTAATCATCATGTGAGAAGTTGGTAATATAAGGTGAATGGAATGTGACCCAATAAGTTTTGGCTACAGCAGATCGGGAAATTTAGATTTAACTTAAAATAAAACATACCTTGGGTTGGTACCATTTCAGAAGATTTTGACTATCATCTTTATTTTTTGAGTGTAAACATCTCCCATAGAAGATGAATGTTAAACAGGAAGCCTTATACAATAGTACCTCTGGTCACAAATGCTTCTGATCATGACCAAATCGGGTTCTGACCAAAAAATTCACATATTTTTTTTGCAACTGATTTCCCCTTCCGTGTCTTTTTTTTTGGGGGGGGGGGGGTAAGCGCCAAATTTCCAAAATTAGGTTCGGGTCACAACCAAATCGGGTTGTGACCAAAGTTATGGATCATGACATGAGGTTCTACTGTATCTTAACTAAGGAACTCACATGTAGCTTAGCTTCCTGTATTGACTCATCAGAATTTTCAAGTTAATTCTCTTAATATTATCTATCATGGCTTATTGTATTCCATGCTGAATTCCTATGTGAGCAAAACCACTTACCTCCTCGGGTTTTGATGGCAGTTGGGACCAGGATTGCCATCAGAAAGTGACACCACACATTGTCCCAGCACATTCAGAGGTCTTACTCTCTTACCCGATACAGCGGATTTCTTCACAATCTTTATAGAAAAAAACTCTCATTATTTATTTTATTGAAATAATTCATATGTAGCATTTTATAAGCAATGTTCTTAGACCTGTGGGATAGCTAAACATTACATGGAAATACATATGTCATAAAATTCAGATCCCTTGGCTATGCATTAGGTGCATCCTTTTTCTTGCTTTTTTGGCAGCCATCTCCAATCTATTATTTGTCAAATAATTATCTGCAAGTTCCTCCCCATAATGTTGAAGGTGTATATGACCCTTGACTTTTGCTGAATACTGTAATAAG